AGTTGCTCGCGGGCAGCCTGCGAACAAGCCCCAGCCGGCTGGCGTAGTAGCCGGCTCAAGTAGGTACCCCAGACCCTGAGGACTACCGACGCAGACGCAAAAAGGTGCGGGGAAAAAAAAATCGTTTCGTTAGGGAAACCTGGCGATCACGCAAAACCCAGCCGTTTGCATAGAAGGATTTTGACAGTTCTGAAGAATTCTGCGTGCGCAGGTGGGAGCTGTTGTTCTCGGTGCTCCGCCCCACATGCCATGGCGGCCTTTCGCACGACAGTGCCGGCCCGTCATGTGCAAAGGCAGCCGGAGGCGGCGCCTCATTGAAACGTGCATGAGCTCGGGCGTGAGGGTGGATGCCGCATGCCGGCATATGGCTCGCGGCGTGGACCGGGCAAGGGGTGGAGGAGGGCGCGAGCAAGCGGAGTCGACGCTGGAAGCAACTCGCAATCGCAAAAAGAGGTGTAAAGTGCGAGGACGGCATGTCGCTGCGAGTCATGAATCCAAAGCCTAGCTCACTGTCAGTCCCTGGGGCCGCTGCGCCGTGAACGTATGCCACCCAGTCCAGTCTACAGCCTCCTCTACCCCTTGTGAATACCCGCTGCCATGGCGGTTTTCACGTCCGGTGCTTTGCACTCCTTCCCGTCGCTGTTGCGGCTCCTCGCAACACGTCCGCCGTTCCGGCCCCTTCACCGGAGCCCTTCCTTGAGCGACATCGCCACAGCCTGTGCCCCGTGGTTTTCGTGTTTTGAGCGCGCCCTGTGGCTGTAAACTGTCGCTCGTTTTGGCCACGAGCTTTGAAACCCCGCCTTGGCAGCATTCCCCAGAATTGGCGCTGCGGCATTGCCAACAAATAAGCTAGAATAAATTTGAACCTGAATTTCACTGGCGTTTCCCACGTCGACTGACGGCTGCTATAAAGCAGGCTAGCTGCGCTGCGTGCGGCCGTTTGCATGCGTGGTCAGCTCCTGCCATTTTGCTAAGGCCCCCACGCGCCATCAGAACAATGAGCAGCTTCGTTGGATGGGAGGACCCTTGCCCGGCATAGACGTTTGTAGTTTGTACTGTAGGTGGTCGCATGTGGTCGCGTAATGTCATGAGCCACCTGAAGCGAAGCCATGTGAATCCAGGAACGCGCACACCCGTACAGGACTACGATGTCAGGTCAACAAGGAGAACGTCTTTCATGACACAAGCTGACGGAACGACTTGTGGCCTACCGGAAGATTGGCCCACTGGTACCTCGAAGCAATTAAATTAGAAGATCAAGTGGGCTGATCGCTGGCTTACCCACATGGGGTCACGGCACATGCCCCCACTTATGCAGTTTTTGTTGGGATCAGACCAAGATGTTGAAGGTTGAACTCACGGTTCTGGAAACAGTGCGGACGCCATTCCGAGGTGTCAAAGCTCGGCGATTCGGCGGTTTGCCGATGAAGACTTCTGCTTTAGCCACGATCGCAGGGCCTCTTGCTTCCAATGGTGTACGCACAGCTCACGGGGTGGGCAGAACCCGAAACATAGCAATGTTGCAATCGCAACATCATGTGGAGCGTGTGGCTGTGATGGCAATCATTCTTGTATCATGTGTGCTTATAGTCGTCTCATGTGTACGGTAGAATGAGGTAGATCTCATGGACAGGCAGATGTTCCAAAATTTTTGGTGTTTGCAATGATCTCCTTATACATACACGAAACAGTTCTTCTGTCTTTAGCACCATGTGTAGACCTCCCTTGGAAGCTGATGCAGTACGTATGTCCTTTGGGGAAGCTAATCATTTTCCAGGTTTTGTGTTTGCCGAAACACGTTTGCATATGTTCTACCCCTGAAATCTTCAACCCGGAACCTCCCAACATACGCCCAGGGAGATGAATGATCGGTGCTGTGCCCAGCTGTTGTTTTGGTGTATGGAGTGTGATGCTCACCGGCTCTGAGTGAGTTGAGTGTGGCTGCGAGGATTACAATGAAGTACGTTTCCATGGTGGCGTTGGATAGCAAAACACATCGGCTTCTTGGTTAAATAGACGTCGGGTGGCAGTATCGCAGTGATTCCTTGGGCCTTGACACAAATGTTGGCTCTGAGGGGCCGATGCATCTTCGACCCATCCGGAGTAGAACGACTTTCCTTCGACATGCTGGCAATGCTTTTCCTGCTTTATGACTTGTGCTTCACACCGGTGACCATTGCCTGGGATTTCCCCATGAGTGGGTGGTTGTTGCCGCTTGTCATGATTCATCAAAGCTCCATGCGTGGCGTTTCTGTGCGATGAGCATGTCGAGGAGTTATGGGAAAAAGTTACAAAGCAAAACCCAGGTACTGCACCGCAGCCGTCGCTGTCTTCTGGACGCTAGATATGATGATGACGCTGCGGACAGCCTACTACCACGCAGGCCTGGTCTCGCGCCCACGCCTCGACGACTGTCAGACATTGGACAATCGAGCTGATAATCAGCTAGGCTTGGGTCGTTATGTTTTTTGGTGCTTTTCGGCTTGATTTTTGTGCAAGTGGTGGTGCACCTGAAGTTATGCAGGAAAGGGGCTTTACCAATTTGTTTACCAGCTGGGCTGTTTTGCAAAATAACTTTCAAACCGCGACAGCTTCAACTTGAATCCTAAACGTCCGACGCTTACAGCCCTGAGCCCACAAGCTGAATGCCTAACCCTCAAAACCGAAACCCTCAGTCTACGAATTCTTGGGTGCAGGTAAGCTGGAGCCGGGTGCCAAGATGCTGCTTTCGTCGGTGCGGGCGCGCATCTTTTGCTCACCGCTTTGATTTTGCCCTTCGTGCGAACCGAGGACAAGACCTGCCATGATCTTCCGCAGGTATGCTAGGACCTGGGGAAAGTCTTGCACGCTGCGGTTTAGGGCTTAGGGGTTTCGCGGTTCAGGGCGTAGGACCTAGGGCATTTTAGTGTCCAAGAAGCTGTTGCTGCAGCTATTGCTAGCTGCTGTCTGTATGATTTGGAGACGACTCTGAACAACTCTCCAGGACCACGTTTCTCTTGGACTTGTTCATCGCACCTGGGCCTATGACAGTCAATGACAGCCACAAGCCGTTTTTTCTCGAATCAGTCTCATATTCATGCGTGAAGGTGTGTTGTACTCAACGAGAGGCTGAGAGATTCGGAGAGAGTTCATTGCTTGTTGTGGCATTGTCGAAAAGTGCTTCTTCACAAAAAACTGGCATTTGCGACAGGTCTGCGTTGATTGGTTGACAGTCTTCGCGAACACGATCTTCCCGGAGGAGCAGGCGCAAGTCAGTGGGGCTTGCAAAAATCAATTTGAAACTTCGGAAAACGGTCAAGCCATTATGATACGGTTTGAAGACCGCTAAAAAATTGTCACACACCATCGGCAGCTGTGTCGATCGTGTTGTTTGCCTGTCGAGGTATGAGTTACCTTGAACACATGCAAGTAGACAGTGTGCGGTGTAGAGAGCTTAAAACCCGTAAACCACCTAAGCCAGAATTTTCCCACAAATCATCCTAAGCCCTAAACCCTAAACCCTAAACCCTAAGCTGTATGCCCTGTACCAAGCCTGGAAGCGACACAGTCGCCGCCTGGCAGGCCGGCGAGAACCCGGAAGTCATCGGCCTTGTCCTCAATTTCTTGCAAAGAGCTGTGAGGGTTTAGGGCTTGAGTTGTTTCGGGTTTAGAGTTTCGTTATGATGTTGCCATGGAAATCCGGTTGTCTTTCTTCCTTGCTCTGGCGAGGAAAGCCATCCGCGTCTTGAATCATTCGGCGTGCGCTTTCTCGGGATTCCCGAATGTCGTGTAAGCTGCACATCACCTGCTTTGATTGGTCATGCAGCCCCTGTCATTCATGAATCCTGACTGTAGAGTCCTTGGAGTCTCTCTAAGCAGGCCTCGATTCGGATCTGGGTTCGATGATGGCGTTGGTATAGGGTTTAAGTTTTGGGTTTAGGGTTTGGACGGTCTGGGATTCAGGGTTTGGGGATTGGGGTTGAGCTGCGCACGGGAGTCCCCGGCGTAGTAGAGGCGGGGTGCTTGACCGGCCTGGCCCGGTCTCCCGCGGCCTCCTGTACTCTATCGCCTTGTTTCGAGATGCAGGGCTTTTCTCCCACATTTTTCTCTGCATCTGCAGCTTGTTGTCGGTGCTGGCATACCAGCCCCTTCTTGCAACCTATGCCTCACGCAGAGTGTCCTTTCCAAGGGCACCGCTATCATCTTTTTTTAAGCATGAACTGTCGATACGCAGTATGTACTTTGGAGTCTGCTTTCTCGCTGGCTGGGGTTTAGGCTGGTCTTTGGCAGGTGGTCTTGAGACATGACATGTGTTGAGCCTTAAACTTAGACTCTAAACCGTAATTGACCCGAACGAGAAATCGTAAACCCTGCACCTTAAACCGCTTCGAGGTGCAAAGCTGGTCCGCTTCTCCAAGGCGACACGTGTCGTGCGCATCGTGAGTGCAACTTGCCCGCCGGTTTAGCATTTAGGGTTTAGGGATTGCAGGACGGATCATATTGCAATTTGATGTGTGATTTGGCCATGCACTGGTCATTCAGATCACTATGTTATTTTGCCGCAAATTGTAAACTATTGGAGCGCTACTGCGCTGGCCGTTCGACGTTCTGAGAACACTTGAAGGGTGGCGCAGCAAAGCAATTCAAGGACTCGCATGGTTTTGCCACATCCAGGGTGTCGTAGCGCAGCTTGTTGCATGCCACAGAATGAGAATGAGAGGATAAGGTTCTCGTCAGGGTGTGCCTTTCTTGGCGAGCACTTGTGAAGATAAGCTGGGATAGGGTTGTCAGAGGCAAGAACCTTGTCTAGGGGATCCGGATTCCTCAGTAAATTCGGACTGGGAGTTTTGAGGGTGTGAGCGGAAGCAACTCGCTGCGGCAGGAAAACGTTCAAGCGTGGCAACTCCGTCTGTAGACTCTGTCATCGTTAGACGACGACAACCACTGGTACTGCTATTGCTACTGCTAGTTATCTCCGAGTTCTTCAACCCCATGGTTGAGCCCAGGTGACCCGGGTTGTTCGCATTCAAGTTTACTTGGAGCGCCTTGGCTGCCTTCGCTTTTATACAAACCTTGGACCCCCCTACAAATGGCAGAGTAGTTGTACGCACTGAACACCCGGAAGCCCAAGCCCACAGTATAGTAATGTTCACTTCATATTAATAACCCCCCCTCGATTGATTTCTATTACAATAGTACCGTAGTACAATAGTCCAGTGGGTGTAGTAGTACAGTAATACAATAGTACAGTTTCTCTACAAAAAATGGGATTTGGGGCGACGGGTTTTGCAATCGAGGGGGGATTTATAATTGAGTTCCGGGGTTGGGTTGTTTAATTGAGAGGGGGGGGTTATAAAATTAAAGTCAATATAACCCGAAACCCAAAACCCAAAGCCCCAAGCCCTGCACAAACAGTAGTACAGATGAGACAATCGCGCTCGTCGACATGGTTGTAAGAGTAGGAGTAGGAGGAGGAGGAGGTCCAATTCCTACCAGTAGAGTAATTATTGCCTAGATTGTGACCATGCTGGAGATAGACAGCGTTTTGACAATCAAGTACGCCGCGAGTTGAACCGTTCTACACCCGAACCCGTCCCCCAGTCCACGACTCATAGTACTGGTGAACTGTCGGTCTGAGACATGTTGCATCGTTAAACGGCGCCGGCCGGCAGAGTTCCATCGTCTCAGGTTGGGAGTTCCGAGTTACCCCAGTTGTCGTTTGTGCGGGGAGTTTTGGTGTTCTTGGCCGGGCGAGCTCCAATCAAGCCTGTGTAAAAGGGATTCATCGACTACTCAGGGGCCCTGCATGATAGTCCTAAGACATATGGGATTCATTGAAGTCCGACGTCTGTGGCAGTTGCGATTTTCATGTGACTTCTCTTGCTTTCAACACTTTATGACTGCGTGTCGCCATTGCTATGTGGAGCTTTGCCGTAGTGCATGCCTGTGATTGCTTGTGAGTATGTTGTGATTTGCCCAAATACAGGCCCAAATTGCTAAACTTCGAGGAATTTCGAGGACATGCAGTTGCGGGTTGTTTGGCACTCTGCGTAGCGCACTGCCCTCGTTACCCCCCATCCCGGTCCCTGACCCTGCCGTTTCCGAAGCGCACCTCGTCTTCAGAACCCTGCTCTGCCTTCCTGTGGCCTTGCAAACGGGGGGCCGTAAGGAAAGTAGCCTGCATGAGTGAAACGATAGCAGGGACAGATACACGAACAGGACAACAGTCGCGCGGCCTAACGGCTCGACCCAAAGCTCTCAATACCGAACCGAGGCACCTCGGAGATCGGCTGCATGGGGGATCCTCTTCGATCCTCTGCAGCACCTAAACACCTGCATTTGCGCGGAGATGGCTAGCAATACTACAGGGAGGGATTCGCACAGTCAGAGGTACGCAGGACGTGGAATCATGGCCCCTCGTTTTGTTATTTCTCAAAAGTTTCGAATGGGTAGGTAGAACCTCAGGTAGAGCAAGCACACTCACATATGCAATTCAGACAACAACCATTACGCTGCGGCAACATGATGAAACGCAAACGAAGAGGCGAAGATGTGGCATCGGACGGGCATGACTAGCCCATAGATGCAAGCGCATAAGCATGACTTGTCCATCACCCTTTCCAGGAGCATGTCAGGAGTGCTACAGATCTACTCCCAAAGCCTTAAGCCCTAAAGCATCCAAAAAGCCTAACCCCCAAAGCATAAGACCCTAATGAGTCACCGTAAACCCAGCATAAACGCTAATGCCCTAAAACACTCTACACCCCAAAGGATAAAGAGCTCAGAACTTGGAGCCAGGAAGTATGTGGGAGACATGGCTCGTCTCGTGCAGCGCCTAGAGCGTCTGCAGCGCCAGGGGTTGGGGGGATCTTAAGATCCTGGATTAGGTATAGGGCTTCGGGTTTAGGATCTTACGTGGTATAGGCCCGGAACCTGACACCTAGATCCACAGGTTGTGCCAGGAGCTCCGTTTCAAAACTGCTGGTGTCTTGTGAAGACCTTAAGATTCCAGCCTGCCGGCATACACCCAAGGCCGGTGCCGACACAAGATCTTAGGATTATCGTTTTGAGTTTAGGATCTCGTGCCTCGGCCAGAGGCCTTCTGCGGGCTTCGGCAGTAAGCTCAGGCTCTAGGTCTCTAGGTACTAGCGCCGAGGGCTTAGAAGTTTCTTTTGCGACTTTGGTGTCGGCTGCCACTGGCAAAGGGCAGCTGATCAAGAGCTTCACTTCGGACCCAGGGGACATCAAATTTTAGGAAACCCTGAAACATGCAAGAGGCTCTCGAGAAGTGTCCTACGCAGCATTCGCCGAAAACCGTGTTGCAGTTACTGTGGCCCCAATGTCGTCCCATCGACTTGAAACTCACAAAACCGGGCTGGGCTTGGTCACTCACCTGGACGTTCAGGGCAGGCATTGGGTTACTTTCGTTCCTTTGAGATGTGTGTGTGTGTGTTCTCTTTTGCGCTAGTCCGGCGCCCAAAAGCCAGCACCCTGAACTCTGAACCCTGAGATCGTGATCATCGTGTGGATCAACCACATCATGAGCTGCACTTGGTTCTACATCGGCCGTGTGACGGTCGGCGACACGGGACTCTTGGGCTGCAATGCTTTAGAATTTACGTTTAGGGCTGGCTTGAGTCGAGGCTTTAGGGATTTAGGCTGAGGCAGTGGTTCGGCCCCTTGCCTGTGAAGCTTCTAGCCATGGCCTAAATCGAACCCCAAAAGCCGTTGCGAGAGTCCAGGCCCTGCACCTTGAAACCTGGCCTAAGCAGAGCCACCGGGAAGATCCCCCTTTCGCCTGTTGAGACCCGCAGGTACGAGCTGGCTCAACGACCCGATCCGGGACGAGAACAGCCCGTTTTACTCGGACACCTTGCCGTTGCTTGCTGAAAATTTGGCCTTGGGACTTCGCGGGGGCAGAGGCTTACGTGAGCATCCGTCAAAACTTCGGTCATTGTAGTTAAGAGTAGGATGGCCGTGGAATGCCGGATCTTGCCAATTTCCTTGGAAGACTGCCCATTCAAGGCCCATTCGGATGGGAAAAGGTAAAGGGCAGTAAAGGGAAGTAAAGCGCAGCAGAGGGCAGCAAAGGGCAGGGCAAGCTACGAGTAGGATCAGTGAGGCCTATGGTCTTCTTACCTTCACAAGAGCAAAGCGTTAATCCTTGTAAAGCGATAGGACTCCCCCCCCAAATCATCCATGGTTTCGCCATGGAAAAGAAGTTTTGACAAACGCTCACATGGTAGTGTAGAGCCTAGTAGGTCGTTGCATGACCCAACCTGGCCCTAAACCGCTTTGGCTCTTGTGGTCCAGAGTTTCGGGGTTTATGGAAGCCCGGATCCTCAGTTCCTGTCATCGTGCAGCACAGAAGTCTGTTCGAATGTGGAACCGTGGAGCAAAGACTCGGGGCAGCGGTTCAGATGACGGTGGGAAGACAGTTTGCGTAGTTAACCACGTTCAAGTCTGGTCAATCGACGTGAAGAATCAGATCATGTTAGCAGCTTTCGCTAGCTTCCTCACGAGTTTTAGGATCTGTGACTCCATGCCCGGAGCGAGCAAGGCAAGGATAAAGACAGTTGCCAGTTAGCGTTCTCGACAAACCATTGAGCTTGAAACGATAGCCAAAGCCGCAAACCGTGAGTAAACACAGCCTGTGCCGTACCCTAAACCGTAAAACCCTAAACCCTCAACCCAAGCCCCTAATCGCAGGCTGTTTCAGTACACCACGGCCTTCCACTGGGCCATCACACAGATGACCCCCGGATCCATGCAGGCCTGCCCATGAAGTTATGTCCGAGGCTTTGGGTTCAGGGCGGTTCCTTTGGCAATTTGGCTGAGGACAAATTCGCCCTGTTTGTTGTGCTGTTGCCCTGATGACCTGCCCTGTTGGGTGGAGTGCCGATTCCACAGGGGGGACGTGCCTTTCAGGCTTTTGTCCGCCTGTGTCTGGTGATGCAAATACGGCAATGATCAGCGCTAGCAGAGAAAATGCTGTTCATGCCATTCGTGCTACTTGTAGTTCTGCGAAGCATTTCGCAAACACGAGGAAGATGAGTTGCTCTCATAAGAATGCTTGTCATGTTAGTTGCAGAAGAACATTGACAGACCATACCGACTTAGCAGATGACCACAGCCAGGAGGGGCCCGGAGGAACGGAGAGTGATATTCATAGTAATGCCGCGACTCACCCAAATTCCTAAATTCGCTCCATACCCTAAACCCTAAACCCCTAAGCCATAAACCCTAAACCCGAAAGGCCCTAGACCCCGCGCCCCTTATCGGCAGGTGTTTCCACGCAACTCGTGGTGGCCTCAGCGCCGGGAGAGGGGCATTGGGGCGTTTCGTCCCGGGGAAGCTTGAAGAGCCTCAGGTTTGGGGGCTTACTGCGTTCTTGTTAAGGGAACTTAAATTTCCATAATAGGGATCTATATAGTAAATAATTATGGTTTCTTTAGTATGGTAACTCAAATAAAATCCCCTAACAAGAACCCAGTTGAAGAGCCTCAGGTTTCGGGGTTTGGGGAAGACCTCGGCGTCTTTTGTTCTTCGGAGTACCCGGCAGTTACAATAGGCCTGGATGCAAAAGGGAAGACGACAGCAAGATACTGCAAGCTTAAAGTTTTGGGCTTCGGGTGTGCCTCTTGCTTCTGTCCTGGTTGCGTCGCTTGCAAACCAGACGCAACAAGGGGAAGACTGCAAGAGGGCTGAATGCAAGAAGAGATTAAAGTTTAGGTTTGAGGGTCTAGGGTTTCACGGTTTAGAGTTCGGGTTTTAGGGTCTAGGGTTGCAGGGTTTAGGATGCACGCGTACACGCTCCTTGTGCAAAGAAGCGATCAAGCTGGCACAGTCCCAAAGTCTAGGTTGATGGAAATGGGATCAAGCTGTGAAGGTACATATTCAAAGCCCGCACACTGTTCCTGGAACGATGTTTAGGATAGCTGCGACTCCACTTGACCACGAAATCTTTCTGCGGCCACGCAGTCGGGCACCGCCAGAAAACCAAAGCAGCCTTCGAACCTGTTTTTGAGGCCGCAAATACTCAGAAGACGACTTTGAGCCTTCTGCCAGGCTCGAGCGCCTTTTCAACATCTTCGCCCTTGTCTTCGGCATGCTACTGGTCTCAAGAGAGAAAGCAGGGTAGGGCTTGGCGGTCTCATGCAGGACGGCGTGTCCAGGCCCACTGTTAAGGGCCGCAGCGTTGACACATGCATCATGGGCTTCGACTTGCCGAGGGGTCATACATATATGCATGTGTGTAGAACGAGCACGACTCTGCGAAGAATCGTCTGTGCGCTAAAAAAGATGGTATAAGAGAGTTCAGCATTCAGGAGCCACCAGGGCCCTAAGGGGCTGACGTGACCGCAAACTTCCATTGTCAACCGTGCGATAACCTAAGCACCAAGCCACAAGCAACCTAAACCCTAAACCCTAAACCTTGAAACCCCAAGCCCCGCCCTTTAACCCCTAAACTTCGAAACCCTGAGCCCGAATTTAAGTCTTAGGCCCTAAGCCTTAAACCCTAAGCCCAAGCATCCGAGGATATTCTTCAGCTCCTTAATCTCGTCGCTTTCTGCTACGATGGCCGGGCAGGGGGCAAGTTGCGAAGCATCAACGTCTGTTGAATGCAGTTTGCCGGAGAAGTTTGATATTGGGAGTTTAAAGGCAGGGCATGCGATTTCAACTTCAGTTTGCAGAAGTAGCTCCAGCAAAGCAAAGCTTGAGTCTTCGCAAAGTCTCATGCACCCCTGGCTGAGGGGCTGGATCGGGCCACTTGCACCTTTAGCATCTCGCGGTTGTTCTAGGGCTTTCTTACATGCGGAGATGTGTATTCAGCTGAAAAAACTTACAAATACCTATCCCCTGCCTATCCCTCTCATTTAGGATGTTTTGGCATTGAAGACGTACACTTACCGGTGGTGGATCTATGAGGATCTTGCTTACAACTAGCTTTGTCGATGACGAGTAGTTTAATCTTTAAACCGTGTCTGCAGCACGAGCTCCACGTCTTGTATCCTCCATGAACCTCAAACCCGGATCTCCCCCACTTAGTCACTGCTTCGCAGTCCCACTGAAATCGAAGTAAACTCGGGCATTTGAGGAGCTGTCTGGCCCAGCAGACGGGCGTTGCTTGATTCAGGGGCCCTTTACATGCAGATTCACAGATGGCCTTTTCGAAGGGAGCCAATGTTCGGGCAGGCCAGACCAAGCCCTAAAGTGTAAACCCTGAACATAAGCCCCCTAAACAGGTGAACTTCCGGATGAAGAGCACGCAGACTGCTAACCAGACTCCCGGCCTGAAACAGTTGAGATGATTTTTCGATTCATTTGGGATAATTTTAAGGGAGTGGACGGGTTTTCCATGGCATGTGCAGGGTGTGCCAGTTAGCTAAAGTGGTTTCCCTTGTGGTGAGGGAGGAATCACTGCATTGACTCGTTTTAAGTTCAATGCCTGTGCCTTCTTTTACGGTTGTGTCTAGACGCGGTATTTCAACTTGCCAGCTGCAACCGCGCTGCCACCTACTATAACTTCAGTGAACCCAAGTCATCGTTTTTAGGGAGTGATGCTGTAAAAGGTATCGTTATATACTGGTTATGAGAAATTACACGTGCTGTCATTCTATTTCTACTTGTTCAGAGCTTCGCATTAGCTATGTATCATACTTGCCAGGCTGCACTTTCGTTGAAGCGGAGGGACCAGCCCTAAATCCTGAACCTAGACCGACCAACTTATCATCCTCTGTTGTCATTTAGGGCAGTCGTACCCCACCTTAAGCCAAAGGGACCCCTCTGTTGCGTAATAAGTTCATGGGAGATAATGTATGTATATTCTGTGCTTGGGGATCCTATAAAGTTTTGTAGGAACCCTTTGCCAACTACGTGGTCGTCCGTATATGCAGGCTTTGCTTCTTCTGGAGGCACGGAATATCAAGCCTCGAACGGAGCCCTGCCTTAGGGTTTAGGGTTATACAGCCCTAAACCCGAAAGCCCCTTCAACCCTCAATCCCATGCCCCACCCCTCAGCCTTGAATCCTAGCCTTGAAACCATGACTGAGGATGGCAGAACTGCGGCGATTCCTGCGGCAGGCCCGGAAGTCCCTACGGTTTTGGCTGTGGGGTTTTGGGTTTAGGCTGTAGGGATGTTGCCACCAGGGTTTAGGGTTTTGGGGTTGTGGGGTTTTGGGTTTTAGGCTTTAAGGATTAAGCTACTAAGGTTTAGGGTTGTGGGTTCATGGGTTTAAAGCTCACTCCAGGATTTCGGGTTGAGTAAGGGCCGAGTATGGGTGTAGCCTCCAGACCTCCAAAACTTCAAACTTGTTTTTTTGTATTGTGATCAGTCTTCCATCTGAAATGTGCTAGGGTTTGAACAGACACCCTTTGTGGAGCTCGTTTTGGGCCCTAGGGACTGTTTGGGCTTGGGGTTTCGGATGGGCAAAAAATAGGCTTCGATTCCGAACTCTGTGACTTGGGATGGCACTTCCAAGCTAGATAGGAGGGCCTAAGCCTCTAGAGTTGCTCCTTCACCAGGTGGCAATTTGGCAAACTTTACTTAAAATTCCCCTTCTGGTTTCTATGGAGGTACCTATTCAGAAAAACTTTTTCAGGGCCCAACAGAATGGGCTGGCTTGGAGCATCATGCAGCATGCCACGGGTGAGCCGCCTGTGCCTCTCTGGCTCTACTCTTCTCAGTCACCTCGGTCCCGCTTTCCGACCCTCGTTTCAGCAGATTACTCACTTGGAGTGATTGATTCCGAGGCCAGATAACTTCAGGTTCTCTCTGCCCACTTTCTTTTCCGTTGAGAGCGGTCAGGGTCTAGGGGGTGTGCCTTGTAGGCTTTGAACCCAGGCTAGCCGGCACATGGAAGCATGGCGGCTGATGAGCAAGGGTATGTCTTCAAGATCACCCGAGAGGAGGCACTGGAGACTATGAAGATGTTGGAAGATCCTCTTTATGCACGGGAAGTAGTAGCCTACACCAACGCAGCGCGGGCTGCGGCACAGTTTCTCGCTGACGAGGAGATACAGTACTCCTTCTGCTTCGCCATGTCCTTCAGTGCCACACGCTATCCCAACATCGTTCTGAAAGCGGGAGGCTTGCCGCGCATCCTCGATGCCATGAAGAAGTTTCCCAAGAACATTCGGCTCCAAGCAGAAGCCTGCGAAGCTTTACGCAACATCGCAGAGATGCCAGATGGCGCCGACACCCTCCTTAGCACGACTGCCCTGGAGGATGTGATGAACTCCATGAGGATGAATGCCCAGGCCGAATGGGTGGTCCAAGAAGGTTGTGGACTGGTCTGTAGAATGATCACAGAGTCTGACGATGCTCGGGACCGGCTTTTCAAGGGCGAAGGCCTGCGGATCACCATGGACTGCATGGAGGCCTTCCCACGTGCCAGCTGGGTGGCTCTTTGGGGTGTGCAAGCATTGAGGAGATTCGCAGAGCTCGATGCGAAACGCGTCCAAGACGCTGGCGCCTTCGATCTCGTGCAGCGTGCACGTACCTCCAAGGTCTTCGCCAAGGGCTGCCCAGCCGTGAGGAATGCCACTGCAGATTGCCTCAAGCTGCAGCCGCCCAGCGCCAATCCCAAAAGATCCCACCGAGACAATGACTGAGCATGAACATCCGCAGAACTGCGGCTGAGCACATTGGGATTTCGAGTGCATGCTGTCATGCGGAAAACAGGCTGCTTCCAGCTTCTCCTTATTGGATGGCGTGTTGGGGCTACTTCGACAACTTCGACGTTTTGATACCTAGTATGATGATGTAAGATGGCTCTTCCCATCACCACTAAGAACACATGTAGAGGCGTGCTTGTGATTCTATACACTGCTTCGAAACAATGCAGTGCCTCCTAAAATGTTCCGACCTCTGGAGAAGATGTCTATGCAGTCCTAAGTCCTAAGCATGGGAGGACTTAACTAATTAGCCCAAGAGACCATATGCAGGGCTCTTTGTGCCCCTGGTATGGGATTCTTCTGTTTATTCGGTCTTTTGGTGCCTCTGAAAGGAAGTTTGCAGTTTGTTTGGGTCGGGAGGTCTCGGGGTTGCGACAATTCGGCCGAGCGCTTTCCTGCACTGCCCAAGGTGCCTTCGTGCTCAAGTTTGGTTTAACCCCCCAGAGCCTAAGACGCCTTACCTAAACAGTTTAGCTCAGAGCTTGTCTGGCGTGCCGCAGCAAGAAGTGGCTGTGAAGAAATGCGAGCTGTCTCGAATCAGAGCCTTGTAATCTGGCCATCTTGCACTTGGGATATCCCTCACAGGCTGTTCGATTACGTGCTATTCCATCAGCCTGGCCCCGCCCCAACGTATCTGAGCACTTCCCAGGCAAAACCCCAGGCCTCAGACCTTAAACCCCCAAGCCTCCAAACACCCCAGACTTGTAACCCTGAAGCCCAAACTCAAATCTCCAAACCCTGCGGTGCGACCTAGGCAGCTGGGCGGGTGGGAAAAATATCTCCAAATCCAAGTTGCACGCCCTGTACCCCTCCTGGCAGGCAGACATCAGCAACAAGCTTTCCCTTAGCTCGGCGCCAAGTGGGGAAGACCGCAGTTTGATTATGGGAGGTTCACGGAAGTTTAGAAAAATGGGGACCTACAAGGAGCACATACCATGCATGCCACCTTGTTGTCCCAGGTAGATTATACCTTCCTTGTGATCTATGGTAGCTTACTGTCAGCTTGAAGACGGTTTTTGAGCAAGAAGCCGGAAGCGGCCCAGTTTCGACAGAGGATTTGTGTTGATTAAGTTTGGGGTTTTTTGGGTTTTAGGATTTCAGGGAGTTAGGGTCTTAGTGCAAACGGTTTGCGGTTTCAGGATTTGAACTTACTAGAGGTAAGGTTTCAGGGCGAGTATGCAGAAGCAGATTAACGACGACTTGCTCCAAGTAACATCAGATCGGCGCGCTTGACTGAAGCTTGCCCATAGTGGGCCAGCATGTCAGCTGGCGGTGACCAATAAATAACCCAACGGACATCTCCCAGCTTTAGAGGCCAAAACCGTCAACCCTAGACGACAGCATAGTTCGATGCTCCCCTTCCGTTTTCATGTGGAGTTTGTGTTTTTGTTGCCATTTTCCGCAAAGCAGACAGCTGCTGTGGCCGTGACTTCAAGGAGCATCAACGATGCAGCATCGGTCCTGGAGACGATGCTTCCCTCGTGGCGGCCTGCTACACCTCCCTTGTGCGAGTCTTCCACGCGTCGCTTTCGGAACAGCTTCGCGGGAGTCCACTCCACCCGACTGGTGGCTGAAGGGCCAACCTCGCCAGGTCTTTAGAAGCAGGGCTGAGGCAGAGCTCCTCTCGCAGCTGGCAGTGCTGCTCATGCCGGACGAGCCCATTGCCGAGGCTTTCCGTGATTTTCCAGTGAAAAAATGCAAGGACTGGGGCTCCAGCAGACTCTGCCCAGATTTCGCAGCGCACAGTGTGCTGAAAGCGACTGGTGCTGCACTGTTCATCGAGTACGATGGGTATTATCGTCACATGGAGCCACTGGGCATGGCCAGGGACATGCGCAAGACAAGTGCGCTGCTCCAGTTCGCTCCTGCTGGATCTGTCGTACTGCGTATCGCGCACAAGGAGCGGAAGTGGAAGGACAAATCCATGCAAATACTGGTGGACCGGTGGCACTCCGAGAATGCTCCCTCCCTGCGCAGGACGCTGCGGCAGGTTGTGGCTTCTCTGTTGCAGCAGTGTCATGCTCAGTTGGTGCCCAGGCTCGTTTCACAGCTGGAGGTTTGTAACCCGCTGCAGATCGCCCAGCACGCAAAAAAATTTGCAGTGGATGCAGAGCTGGTTGGCGCCGCATCTGAAAACAACCTACTGGCATTGCAAGAGCTTCTCCAGAAGGAGATGCCGCTGAGCACTGTCCAAATTGCCAAGTCGATTGAGAGGTTTCCTTCCGTGCTCGGCTTGAGCCTTGATGCGAACCTGAAGCCAACAGTTGAGTGGATCAAGGGACTGGGCCTGAGCCAGTCGCACGTTGCCAAGGTGATTGCAAACTGTCCGCAGGTGCTCGGCTTGAGCATTGATGCAAATCTGAAGCCAACAGTTGAGTGGATCAAGGGGCTGGGCCTGAGCCAGTCACAGGTTTCCAAGGTGATTGTAACGCATCCACGAGTGCTCGCCTACAGCATTGATGCAAAACTGAAGCCAACAGTTGAGTGGATCAGGGGGCTGGGCCTGAGCCAGTCGCAGGTTGCCAAGGCGATTGCAACTTGTCCGCAAGTGCTCGGCTACAGCATTCACGCAAATCTGAAGCCAACAGTTGAGTGGATCAAGGGACTGGGCCTCAGCCAGTCGCAGGTTGTCAAGGTAATTGCAACGCATCCACGAGTGCTCGGCTACAGCATGGATGCAAATCTGAAGCCAACAGTTGAGTGGGTTATGGGGCTGGGCCTGAGCCAGTC